CCCGGCCTGGTCCCCGGCCTCGTGGCCGCCGCGCTGGCCGCGCTCGCGGGCGGCGTCTCCAGCTTCGTGGCCTACCAGAAGCGGCGGCTCTGCTTCCGGGACGCGGGTGAGTCACTTCCGGGGCGGGGCTGCCGGGGAGACGGACGGCAGCCCCACTTCCGGTTCCCGGCTGTCAGTCAGGGCGGGAGGGCGGGACTTCCGGTGCCAGAGGGTGATGTCATCCCCACGGGGCGGACGGCAGCACAACTTTCAGTTCCCGGCTGTCAGTCAAGGCGGGGAGGGTGGGACTTCCGGTGCCAGAGGGTGATGTCATCCCCACGGGGTGGACGGCACCCCCACTTCCGGTTCTGGGCTGTCCATCAGGGCTAGAGGGAGGGACTTCCGGTGCCAGAGGGTGACGTCATCCCCGCTTTGCATCCCTGGGGCTGTCAGTCAGGGCGGGAGAGAGGGACTTCCGGTAACTGAGGGTGATGTCTTCCCCTCTCACAAACCAAGGGACTGTCCATCAGGGCTAGAGGGAGGGACTTCCGGTGCCTGAGGGTGACGTCATCCCCACTGACAATCCCGGGGGCTGTCAGTCAGGGCTAGAGGGACGGACTTCCTTTGCCTGAGGGTGACGGCATCCCCACTGACCATACCTGGAGTTGTCAGTCAAGGCGGGAGGGAGGGACTTCCGGTGCCTGAGGGTGACGGCATCCCCGCTTACCATTCCCAGGGCTGTCAGTCAGGGTGGGAGGAAGGGACTTCCTGTACCTGAGCGTGACGTCATCCCCACTCACAATGCCCACGGCTGTCAGTCAGGGCGGGAGGGAGGGGCTTCCGGTACTTAAGGGTAACGTCATCCACACTGACCATCCCCAGGGCTGTCAGTCAAGGTGGGAGGGCGGGACTTCCTGTGTTTCCGAATGACATCATCCCGACACCTGCCACAGGGCTGTCAGTCACGGCGGTCCCCCTGACGTCATCCCCGCTTCTCGTTCCAGGCCCCGCCCCCGTGTAGGCCCCGCCCACCCTCGGACCCGCCGGACCCCGCCCCGTGACGTCAGAGGACCTCTCGGCCTCCCCGGCCAACCCCCTGCCTCGGCGCGGGCGCCTTCGACCTGGCCCCGCCCCAGCTGCCCATCACCGCGCGGGGGGCGGGACTTCCTGAATCGCTGCTCATCTCAAACCAAAGAGAGGCGGGACTTCCGGGGTCTGGGGTCCTGGAGATGTCAATCCATGGCCCCAGCTGCCAATCACCCCGCTCCCGGCTTCGTTTTAACCAAAGTGGGGGCGGGACTTCCGGTTCTCAGGGTCTAGGCCCCGCCCGAGTTCCCGGCCCCGGGCGTGCATTTGCCGCACAAGCTGCCAATCACCTGCCCCTCAGGATTATTTTAAGTCCCGGGGGCGGGACTTACGGCAACCGGGGTCCTGGGTCCCCGCCCTGCTTCCCCGGGTGTCAATCAATGGCCCCAGCTGCCAATGACCCCGCCCTCAGCTTCATTTTAACCAAAACAGGGCGGGGCTTCCGCTTCCAGGGGTTTGGGGTCCCGGCCCCGCCTCCTCTCCTGGTCCTGGGCGTCAATTTGTCGTCCCAGATGCCAATCACCCCGACCCCAGCTTCATTTTAACGAAAGTGGGCGGGACTTCTGCTTTTAGGGTTTTTTTGGGGGGGGGTGGTCCCGGCCCCGCCCCCTTTCCCGTCCCCGGGCGTCCATTTGTCGCCCCATGTGCCAATCAACCCAACCCCAGCTTCTTTTAACCAAAGAGGGGCGGGACTTCTGGTCCCCAAGGGCGAGCACTCTTGGCCCTGCCCCGGTGACCCCGGGTGACCTCCCGCCCTGAGGCTCGAACCCCGGGAGCTCAGTCCAGGCCCCCCGCAACCCCCCCCCCCCCCGGGGAGCGCCAGGAAGGGGCGGAGCCGGTAACACCGGAAACGGAAGTCAATAAAAAGTGTTTAAGCCCCAGGCGGGATCTGTGCGTGTGGTCTGTCCATCACGGGGCGGGGGCGGGGTCCCCGGGTGACGGACAGGACGCCAGGGGCGGGGCTTCCAGCGCCGGGGAACGGAGTCCAGAGAGCGTCGGCCCTTGTGTCAATCACCCCGCCTGGGCGGGGCTTCGTCACTCTGGTTTCCTCTTCCTGCTCTGGGCCGAGACTGGCGAAGGTCGAGCACCTGTCAATCACTGAGTGAAGGTGGGACTTCCGGTTTCTGGACCCCGTTTCTGGGCAGAAAAACCAAAATAGTGCCGGGTCCCTGTCCATCACGCCGCCAGGGCGGGACTTCCGGTTAATGGGCCGCACTTCCTGTTCTGAGCCGAGAAGCACAGAAGTGTCCGCTCCCTTGTCAATCACCCGCTAGGGGCAGAACTTCCGGCGTCTACTGCCCGTTTCCTGTCCTGGGCAGAGAGGGGAGGCAGTCGCGCCCGTGTCCATCACCGGTAGAGGGCGGGACTTCCTGTGTCCCCCGTTGGGCCGGCACTTCCGGTTTCTGGACCCCGTTTCTGGGCAGAAAAACCAAGACAGTGCCGGGTCCCTGTCCATCACCCGGTTAGGGCGGGACTTCCGGTGTCTGGACCCCGTTTCTGGGCAGAAAAACCAAGACAGTGCCTGGCCCCTGTCCATCACCCCGCTAGGGCGGGACTTCCGGTGTCTGGACCCCGTTTCTGGGCAGAAAAACCAAGATGGTGTCGGGCCCTGTCCATCATTCCCTTAGGGCGGGACTTCCGGTTTCTGGGGCCCTGTCCATCACCCCGCTAGGGCGGGACTTCCGGTGTCTGGACCCCGTTTCTGGGCAGAAAAACCAAGACAGTGCCGGACCCCTGTCCATCACCGGGAGAGGGAGGGACTTCCTGTTCCGAGCAGAGGAAGCTGCAGGGTGTCGGGTGCCCTGTCCATCACCCCGCTGGGGCGGGACATCCGGTCTAGGGTCCGCACTTCCTGTTCCAGGGAGAGAAACCCATGGAGTGTCGGCTCCCCTGTCCATCACACTGCTAAGGCGGGACTTCCTGTGTCCCGCACTCACTTCCTGTTCTCGCAGAGAGGGGCAAAGGTCTGGCGCCTGTCAATCACCGTTGAGAGGGTGGGACTTCCTGTTCTCGGCAGAGGAACCCAGCGTGTCTTTTCCCTGTCAATCACCGCATCAGGGCGGGACTTCCTGTGTCCCGCACCCACTTCCGGCGCTGGGCGGAGGAACCCTGAGAGTCTCGGCCTCCCATGTCCGTCACCGCATAGGGGCGGGACTTCCGGTGTATGGTGCGCACTTCCTGTCCTAGGCAGAGAGCGGAGAGGTTCGGGCGCCCGTCAGTCACCGCTAGTGGGCGGGACTTCCTGTCCCAGGCACAGACGCTCGAACGTCGAGCCCGTCAGTCACAGGGAGCGGGCGGGACTTCCTGTCCCTGTATGAGGCCCCTGCAGGGCTCCTGTCCGTCACGCCGCTGGGGCGGGACTTCCGGTGTGTGGTCCGCACTTCCTGTCCCCGAGACCGCGGCCGCCGGGACGGGGCGGGGCCGAGCCTGATGGACGGGAGGGGCGGGGCCTGGCCGGACCCCGCCCCCTCGGCCCGCGGTGACGTCATCCTGGGCGCGGTGATTGGCAGGGGCCCGGGGCGGAGGCCGGGAAGCGCGGGACTGAGCACCCAGCACCCGGGGCGGGGATCACCGAGCACTGAGCACCCGGGGCGGGGATCACCGAGGACTGAGCGCCCAGCACCCGGGGCGGGGATCACTGCTCAGTCCTCAGTGCTCAGTCCCGGTGCTCAGTCCCGGTGCTCAGTCCCGGTGCTCAGTCCCGGTGCTCAGTCCCAGTACCTGGTGCTCAGTTCTGCTGCTCAGGGTGTTGAGTCTTGGTGCCGGGTGCTCAGTCAGGGTGCTTAGGGCTTTGGCTGGGTGCTCGGTACTCAGTACCTCACGCTCCATGTTCATGCCTGGTGCTCAGTCCCGATGCTCAGTCCCGGTGCTCGGTCCTGGTGCTAAGTCCTCAGTGCTCAGTCCCGAGCTCGGTGCTCAGTCCTGCTGCTCACGGTGCTGAGTCTTGGTACCTGGTGCTCATTCCCGATGCTCAGTCCTGGTGCTCAGTCCCAGTACCCGGAGCTCAGTCAGGTGCTCGGTGCTCAGTCCCTCCGTCCCGGGTGCTTGTGCTCGGTGCCCCGCCTGCCCCGGCCGCCCCGGGCGCCTCCACCCCGGGTTCCCACGCCGCCCCCCCCACCCCTGGGTCGGAAATTCCCGCCGGACCGGCCCGGCCGGTCGGAGTACTCAGTCCCCAGCACCCCGAGGGCGGCCCCGCCTCTTCGTCTCACCCCAGGCCCCACCACCGCACCCCGGCGTCGTCGCCCCACGCGGCCTCAGTTTCCACTCGGGGCCGACACCGGAGGACTCAGCACCGAGCACCGAGCACCGAGCACCGAGCACCGAGCACCCAGCACCCCGCATGGAGACCCCGGGGCCGGCGCTGCTGCTGCTCTGGGTGCTGGCGGCGGCGGCGCTCGGTGAGTCGGGTCCCGGGGGGGGGGGAGGGGAGGACTGAGCACCCAGCACCCAGCACCCAGGACCCAGCACCCAGCACCCCCTGAGCGAGCTGCGGAGCTGTGGGGGCGGCCGCGGGGACGTCACCGGTGACGTCACAGGACCCCAGGGGGGGGGACAAAAAAATCTGGAAATAAATTCTGGAAAAAATTTTTTAAAAAAATTGAAATTTCGAAATTTTGATCTCGTTTTGGAAAATTTTTAAATTTTAAATTTGGAATTTGGAAATTTTTTTCTGAACGTCGGGAACTTTTTTTTTTTGGAAATTAATTAAAATTTGAGAAAGAAAGGTCGGCGCCGCCCGGGAGCGAGGGAGGGAGGGGACCCGGGCTCCCTTTGAAAAGGAAATTTTAAAAATCGAAATTTAAAAAAAAAATTTAAATTTGAAATTTTGTTTTTTTTTTTAAAACTTGGAAATTTTTTTTGAAATCGGAAAATTTTGGGAATTAAATTTTGGCCGAAGGAGAAATGAACGGGGGGGGGTGAATTAAGCTGAGGAGGAAACGTCGGCGCCGCCGGGAGGGAGGGGACCCGGGTTCTTTTTTTTAAATCTGAAAATTTAAAAAAATAAAATAAAATATAAAATCAAATCCAAAACAGAAATTCGCAAAATTCGGCGTCCTCCCAACGAAATGAGAAATTTCAAAATTTCGAAAATCAAAAAGAAAAAAAAATAAATGAATGAAACCAAGTCCGACGGGAGCGGGCGCGGGGTCCCGGGAACGAAATCCGATTTTTAAAAAGCAAAACAAAAAAAAGAAAAAGAAACGAAAATTTGACCACGGAATGAGAATTTTTCACCCCCCCCAAAAAGAGAAAAAAACGGAATAAAGAATCTAAAAAAAAAAAACCGAACCAAGATTAGAAATTTACAATTAAAAAAAAAAATAACAGAAAATCGAAACGAAAAATCGAAAAACAGAAACAAAATTTGAATTAAAAAGAAAAAAAAAACCCGAAAACCCAAATTTGAATTTAAAAAAAAAAAAAAAAAGAAACCGAGAAGGAAATCCAAAAAGAAACAAAAAAAAAAAAATCAAAATTTAGAATCAAAATTTCGCGGCCAACAAAAAAAAAACAAAATCAAACCCCGAACCTTGACGGACACACGGGGGTTGGGGGGAGGGGGCGGGGAGGAGAGGCCCCGCCCCCCCAAAAAAAACCCCACTGGGGGGGGAAAATAAAAAAAAAACTTGAACCCGGGCTCGAAAATTCGAAATTTTCGAAAAAAAAATTGAAAATTTGGGAAAAATTTGCAAAATTTTGAAAAATTTTCAAAATTTTTCAAAACTTTCTCAAATTTTCAAAATTAAAATAAAAGTCCGGGGCCCTGGGGTCGGGGGCTGCTCGCGGTGACGTCATTCCCCCCCCCCCC